GCGTGTTTTTAAACAAATACCCCCCGAAGGCCCTTAAGCGCTCTCGTAACATGGCGGGGATTAAAGAAATGCGGCCATAGTGTCATCCAACACCTACATGAAATGCTCATGTAGCATGGAGGGGAAGGTTATGATTCTCGAATTTTCCTAAATATGGGAGATGTCTAAAGGCTGCTGAAATTTATACTGAAATTCATAGGACTTATACAAACAAACAGAGGACCTGATTTTAATTTAAATGAATAGCAAATGACCTAAACTTGAACAACTAAATAAGGGACATGAACTTGATTTGAATCAAATGGCAAGGACTCAAACTAAACACTGGACCACAAGTAATTAGACACTAAATAAAGAAAATGCACATTTACATTAAAATGCAAATGCTAATTAATGGCCCTAATGTTCAAATAAAATTCAATGAATAAGGACTTATAATGTGCCCAATAATACGCTTATAAGTGGCTATAAAGAACATATAATGATCGACCATTAACATATAAGTGTATGTTGAGGACTTATACTGAACAGTATAATGTGCCTACAAGCAAGAACATGAACCTACTACAAATACAACGGTTCACTTACAAGTAGCTATATAAAGCTTGTGAATATTCATGGATGATGATGGTTGTAAATGACAATAAAGATTAATGAACATGTTGCATTTGAACCATTGCAAGCAAATATATCAAGTAATAGATGAGCTCTAATACGCAAAATGAACTGCCCATAAATGATAGTATGAACATGTAGTGATATGCTCGTGAGTGAAGCATAGAAAGCACACAACAAACACCACTGGCTTACAGCCCACCATATGAAATCTCTAATGAATGCTACAATTATTATAACGATCAAAGTGTAAATGCCAGCTAGCAATAATGATGATGTTATCACTCATGTCACGAATCAACAGTCAATGTGATGAATAACTAATAGCATGCATAATGAATTGTCAAGATGTAAATAAAGAGAGGCATGTAATGAATATGATGATTTGTTAGCAATCATACGCAATGAATGTAATACGCTTACTAGTGGAAGCAAAAGAATTGTGAAGGAAATAGCTTCCTTGCCATCAAGGTTGGTTAACTTGCAAATGAATATACATTAGCCTACTCATAAGCAATGAATGCTTGTCTAATCTATTTGAAGATAATAATAACTCAGATGTTGTGAGCATGGTAGATCACTTATGCACACAAATGCAGATGATATTTATAGGAAAGAATCAAGAGTCGGGAGGCAATTATGTACCCCTACAAATCGATGTGGTAGATTTTTCAGGCATATAACACTTCGCCTACAAGTGGAAAGTGAGGTTTGTAGTGCAAATACAACATTCATCAAAGGGCAAGTGCGTTAGACCTTCGTCCGGCCAAACCGCTAATCAGATGACCAATGTCATGTCCTTACTAGTAAGAAACTATTTGAGAACCAATATTAATGATATTCTCGACCAGATATCAGCTTTTTATGAACAGAAATAATTTTCAAACTTGTCTACCTCGACAAATTATTACATAGGGTGTATGCAAATTTGAGAGGTATTTGAAATATTTTGAGTTAACCCCTCCGATTGAGATTAGCATTCAACACGATCATTATTATGGTGCACTTATGGGTAATTTAATTTGTGAATTGAAAATTGTCAACTCTGTCTACTTACCAATAAGGATCGAGTTCTTCATAGATTGTATTTCTTTATTGGTGATTTTTTTTTTTTGTTATATGTCTTGAAAGCATAATATAAACGTATTAAAACAAATATCTCGGTCAACCCCATGGCCGTATATTTATTTGATAGTTTAAATCATGTCCAATCCTATCTACTCGAATAGAAGTATCTGGCTCAAACTTTAAATTCATCATTTGACCCATGCAGGATCCTCATATGTCATGTGTGTACACATGATGTGCTAGCAGGGACCCATACAGGTATATGATTTTACATGCATTTTCTATGATGTGGTTATATGATTGTCGTACATATACAACGAATAAATATATCATACGCGCGTATGTGTATACATGCTTGTGCGAGTGCTTGCATATTCACATAATAAGATTTACATGCTGCAATGCATGCATAAGGGCATTTTGAAATACTTGACGTCAATCAACCATGCAAGTAATGTCATTTGAGTGGGTGCAACATTCTGTTTGGAAGATTGTACATGTCTTTTGTCCACTTGTATGAATATTGCGGATCTCATGGAATTATGTAGTAGCTTGTAAACGCTTTCTATCCGCTTATACAAGCGTCACGGATCCGGTGGTGTTGCGTCATGCTTCAGTGGAATTATTGTATTTGCCAGATAATGAATTGTTATTGAGTGTGTGAATGCCCCAATGTTTATTGTATGTTGGTTATCATTGTTTGTAGAAGATTTCTTTCATTGCATTTTTTGTGTTTTACTTGCAAATGACATATCATATACATGATGGGTCTCCTACAACGACTTGTAAGCATTTATATGTATTGTAGATATGTTGTCTTTTCTTGTAGGTGACTTGGTGTGTTCGTTTACAATTAAGTGGTGTTGATAGCAGGAGACCACTTCCCTTGCAACCATCTTATTTTGCTTGTAGACATGCTGCAGCTCTCACATATCATTCATCATCACTTGCATGTAAATCCCTCTGCCTATAGTGGGTAAATGCATTTGCTTGCCATTGAACTATTGTAGATTATACGGATATTTTAGCAAGTGTTGCATGCTTCTATATATGTTTGCAAGGAACATCATCAACTATAATAAAGTTGATTTACTCATTGCATGTTCATTTACTTTTGTCTATAAACGTTCATAGGTTTTCTGTAGTTGCTTGTAAGAGAAACATTGTATACTCTGCGAGTTCATGTTCATGCCTTTAAGCAGATCCCTTTGATCATTACAAGTATCCTTTGTTGATGTTTGTTATTTGTTTACGCTTGCATTTTCACACTATTGAGATTTCAACACAAATCCTCCATTCATCCATTGATTTTTTATTTTTTTTTTTGCAAAATCAAGGCTATTAATTAACATTTATATTTTAATATGAGATGTGTGTTTGTTAATTAAAAGTCTCAACCCCTGTTTGTCATTTGAGTTTGGTTCCCTGCTGCCCTTTTTTCAAATTTGAAAGTCCCTTGTCAATTGTTCAAGTTCAGGTCCTCTGTCATTGAAAAATTCGACAGCCTCCTAACGTCTCCCATGTTTAGGAAATTTTTCAGGAGTCTGGGTCATCCCACCAAACTACGAGAGCATGTATGATATGTATCGAGTGACACCACAACTATGCTCTTCATTTCCACCGCGCTACAATAGTGTGCATGGTCTTTGAGGTACCTGCTTGAAAATGCAGTTTTTCCTTGCCGGTACTGAGGCGAGTATGGATACTTAGAAGTGTCCCCGCCATACTACATAAGCGTGTACAAGGTCGACCCACATCGTCGTAAACTTTGCACCAAGATCCCTCCTACCATGCTACGAGAGAGCGTATAGGGGTTGCCGCGTATAGGAGGCCCTCCGGATCATCGCAAACACAGAAAGTGGAATTTTAATGGATTTTGAGTTTGAGAACCGTTATACCTGCATTGAGTGACTTTTGAGTTTGAGAACCGTTATAATTGCGCAACGAGATGACGACGACAATAAGAATTTGCAAAATGTCCCATCTCCCCTTTTTTATTTTTAATGATCTCTCCTTTTTCTCTCTTATATATATATATTCTCCTTTTTTAAAATCTTTTCTTTCTTTTTGTATGTGTGTGTATACGTATGTATTTATATACAATAATAATATATATAAATAATTTTGCCTTATGAGGAGTCAGTTGAGGGCTATATATGACTGGAATTTAGATGTGGGTTTGGCTGTTGAGTTGGTTGTTTGGGTGGTAAGGGCTTAGGAAAGAAGCTGGTTGGAGGGAGGCGGCTTTGAGGTTCAATTGAACCTGTGAAGAGTAGCTGGCGCGTGGTATAGGTTGTGGATTTCAATTTCTTCACTTAAGGAGGGAGATATGGTTGGCTATAGAGGGAGTCAAGTGCAGATCAATACTAGAGGCGTAAGCAAGGTCGAGTCCTGGATTTAGGATGGGAGGCTACAGGTGTTCGTGGGCTGATTGAGGTCAGTTTGTGTTTAGGGTCAGCAGGAGCTGCAGGACGATATGCCAACGCCACCGAACAATAGATAAACAAGATTTCAAGGAGGATTTGAGCAAGATTGTGCAAAAATTGCACAAGATTTCCAAAATTTTCTAGTATTTTTAGTGGAGGGCAACATCATGCTTCTTATTAAGCTTGTTCACAAACTTTAATTAATATTATTCATGAATATAAATAAACTAAACATATAATTATTTAAGTTTAATTATTTAATAGTCAAATATTTTAAAAATTATTTAAACTTATTTGATTATGTAAATAAACAATCAAAGATTGAACTATAATCATATCAAATCACAAGTAACTTATAGAATGCTCAATTCATTCACAACCCTAATTTTTTAAATGAGTTCATATTCATTCTAGTTTAAACAAATGAAAGGGAACATAGAAAAAAAAAAATTCAAAAAATAAATGTCATAACACAGTCAAACAGCCTATAAATAAAAGCCAATAGCTAATATTTTCACAAACATTATAAAGAAATTTAATATGATACAAAACCAATAAAGTTACAAGTCTAAAGCCTAAAATATACAAACTTTTCAAGCAGTTCTCTTCAGAAATGTTAGCTGGTAACCAATCATGGCTATGCAAAGCTTCAAAAACTAAGCTATCTCACAAACTCTTTGCAGCTCAAAATTTCAATTTCATTTCATCTCCAGCAAGTAATTAATAATTTATTACAAACCATTTCAAACTTCAAACAATTTCAACATTGGAATAAGCAAGTATTGCACAATCATCCTTTGGAGGAATTATTCTGTGAGGAATCGAGACAGGAAAAATCATCCACATTGCTAAGTATTTATTGAGTATTTATAAATACTCAATAAATATACAGTAAATCAATAAATACTCAATAAATATTCACAAAATACTCAATAATACTCACAACTAAGTATTACAAATACGCAATAAAACCGGACGGTTCTCCCCACCCGAACTCCACACATAATTATTTCTCCCATCTTTGAACTTCAATTTTTAAGAAGTATATTTGATTAATTTGACTACAAGAACCATATCGAAAAATTTAATTTCTTATTTTCATGTTTGAGACATGCTATAATACTTACAAAATGATAATCATAATTTCCTTCCCAAAAGTCCAACAAAGACCTCAATCACTTGCACATTATTACATCTTAAGTCCTCACGAAGATCAAGTACTCTTCAGTTCGCTGAAACCACTTTGCCAAGAAATTAAAGCCTGCAAAAACCAATACAAGAGACCTTTATCAGTTCAAAACAACGAAAGATGTCAACAGTATCAACAAGAAAATAATCATTTAACCCCATGATTCATATACCTCATAATAACCGGATTACAGAACTTCCTTCTAGTCACAAAAATGGTTTTTGATACTTTCATGAGAACGCAAAAAGTAATCACGAATTGTTCTCCTTTTCAAAGAAGATGGAGGATTTAGAACTGAAGAAGGGCTATCAAATGCTGCCACTGAATCTGGGGTCCTCTGCATGTCTACTCCTTCAGCCGGGAACAAGCCAAGTTTTCTTTTCTTGAAAGACTCGGGTGTGCTACACTCTTCAAATTTAGATCTTGAGGGTGAGGATGAATTCACCATTGTTTTCTTTGAAGTACAAGAGGCATCTGCAAAGCCATTCGAATCTTCTAAGTTTAGCTTCCTAATTATCTTGGTTGGGGTTGCAGTAACTCTCTTCCGCAATGAACATGGGGATCTTGTACTGATACAGCTTTCTTTCTTGATGTTCCAGACATGGACCTGCAACAACCATGATTGTATTACATCTCAAGTGTTAACATTTCAGATTGATAACAGTTATTTATTTAGGCCCACCAACCATGTAATCATCCGAAGAAGTAGCTAGCTTCCCAACCTCTGTCGAGCACCTGATGATGAAACAAATTTATTAATAAAATGCAGGACAATGAAGCAAAAAACCCATAATAGATAGTCTAATTTAGGACTTTTGTTTCAGCGTTTTTTTTTTTTTCCTTTTCCTTTTTAGAAAGAGAAATTACTTTTTCGTCGCTGTTTGGATGGGATGCTTCTATAGAAATGATTTTAGAGAACTTCATTTTTCTACTATTTTGAGAAGTTTTTTTATATTTGTTTCTCGGTTGTCTTAACTATTGTTTCTAAAACTATCTTTTACAAAAGGAGATGAAGAACCAAATAAAGTCTTGAGTTAGGTGAATTTACATAACAAAATTCTTATGTACTTAAATTTTTAATGTAAATCTTTATATTTACTTATATAATACCCTAATCTTGAAATCACATCAAAAATGCAATTAATATTAACTTACATTAAGTTAAATACACAATTTATTGCTTATATTTTGATGTGATTCAGATATGTAAATAGATAACACTTATGTAGTATGTATTTAAATCCCAAATTTGAGTATTGGAGCTTACCAAGCAACTGCAGTTACTTCCTTTTCATGACCAGTGAGTGAGACTGGAGCACTTTCAGGCTTGTCCACCTGGTGTAAGAATTTATTAGCATTTTTCAGACTGTAGAAATGTCAAAAAGTAGACAAGCCATGCGATAAGATTGAGAATTACCCTCCAGATGTATGCATTTCCATCACCAGAACCGCTAAGAATGTGCGAACCATCAGGACTTACTGCTGACTGCACCATGACAAAAACAATGGTTGAAAGAATATGTAAAAATGCTTTTATTTTCTCACATGTAATTAATGGGCCACGTTTACAAAGATTAGCATTATTTTTAATTTAATAAATTAATAAGACAATGGGTTATGTGGTAAATGTAAGTCAATACATGAAAATTTGATAATTTGCCGAATACTTTCCTGATGGGAGAAAGAGATTGCAGCTTAATAGAGAATTTCTTGCGTGTGAAAATCAATCCAAGGAGTACTTATCCATGCTTATTTTGTGTTTGTCCTTTTCTAAAAATATAATAGCATGCATATTAATTAAATTTAGGGAATATGATCTCTTGTGCCCTAAATACATGCTATTATACGCAGATTTCTTAAGAGATATGTCATGTTTATCTCATACAGTTGTTTTCACCTAAAGACATATTCATCTCATTTCGATTTGAATTCAAAATCCTTATGACCGTGACTTTAAATAAATATATATAACCCTTTCATTATTCAAAAAGGGAATTAACAGTTTCTGGATTTGTTATGCATTACTATTGAGTTGTGTATTTTTTAAGTTTTTAAAAATCGGACTGAATCGAGCAATTTGACCAATTCAACCGTGAACC